AAGATTTAAGTGAGCTGGACCGATTTGAAAATACCTCCAAAAATTTAATTTTTTATGAATACAAATAGTTTCTTAAAGAACTTTTTGAAAAAAGTCCCCTAAGATGACAAAAGAGATTAAGCTTAAAAAATCTGCATAAAAATATTTAAAAATCTTTTAAACGGAATCGTAAGAATGAGATTTTTGATGCTGTTTTTTTTACTTTTCTCAAAGATTGATTTACGAAAAACTTGAATAACTGGGCCAAAACTATTCTGATTTAGACTTATGGGATCTCAGTTGAAAGGTATTTTCACACTGTTTTTATTTATGTCAAAAAAAAGTCATTCGTGTCCCAATATTTTTTTTTCAAATACCAACACATCTTAATTCAACTTTGAATGACGTTCCTTCATCCTACCTTTTTCTTCCATCCTTTGAATGAGTTTATTAGCAAAGAAATAAAAAGGTAGAGAAAATACCTTTCTAATGACATCTCCTAAGTCTAAATCGGAAGAGTTTAGTTTCAGTTATTCAAGTTTTTGTTATGCCAATCTTTAAAAAAAGTTAAAAAACAGCAACAAAAATCTCATCATTACGATTCCGTTCAAAATTTTTTTTAATTTTTTTAATATTTGTCTGCAGATTTTTTAAGCTTAAGCCGCACAGTGGTTCGTATAGCAGATCTAGCTGGACGAAAGTCAAAATTTTTTTGTTTTTAAAATACTTAATGGTACTTGGAATACATTCCTAACAATACATTCAAATAGAAATTGCATTTATTAAAGCATTAACATATGAAAACAAACAAAAAAAGGTAAGTCAACGCCGCCTATTTGAGAACTCTATTTTAAAAGCTGAAATTTAACTTAAAATATTGCTAATAGCACTCACAGATATTTGCATAATTGCAAATTGACTTTTAAAACAGAAAAATACTTGGAGTTATAAAAACTCTGGTTATGTAAGAGTTAAAAAAAATAGTAACTCGCGAATTTTCTGCTTTCTGAAATTAAAAAATTATACAACAGGCATGCAAATCTTTAAGTGCTGTTATACATTTTTTTCTGAAATTTATTTGTGTTTCTTGCTGTGATCTTAAATTTTAGTCATGGTAAAGAAAATCTTAAGAAGTGAGTTGTTTGACATTTGGAGAAGTGTTGCTGAAACTTCTAAAAGACAACAAGGTGTCCGTGATTATGTGCTTAGTAAATTGAAAAAAATATCTGATGAAAATGCACGTTCCGAAGTAAATAAAGTAAATTAAGTAAATGACTTTAGATTCGTAATCAGCAACCCAGAAAACCCCCAGATTCCCAGTTACATAGAAATCTACCGATTTTTTTTTAATTTTCGTCCGCCATATTGGATCCGCCATTTTGAATTTTTGGTAAATGACTTTAGATATGTAATCAGCGACCCAGAAAACCCCCAGATACCCAGTTTCATAGAAATCTACCGACTTTTTTTAATTTTCGTCCGCCATATTGGATCCGCCATTTTGAATTTTTGATAAGTGACTTCAGATTCGTAATCAGCGACCCAAAAATCCCCTAGGTAAGAAGTGGTGTAAAGATCCATCAAGGAGTATTTGTTTAAATAGTTTCGTCCAGCTAGATTTGCGATCCGAACCACTGTGAGCCGTTTTGTCATTTGAGAGGATTTTTTCAAAAAAAATCTTTAAGAAACTATTTTTATTCATAAAAAACTCCATTTTTGGAGGTATTTTCAAATCGGTCCAGCTCACTTAAATCTTAATATTTTTCCGAAATATTTTGGTGGACGTCTTAAAATATAATAGATTTTATAATTCCAATGGAAAAATAGTAGCAATTTTTTTTTTGTATGGGGAGTGATGCAGTCTAATGTGCATATATATACGTGCATACATATGTACATACATACATACGTACGAACCATAGTGCCTCCAGGCATATAGCAAGCGAATTCGCACATATATATGTGCATACATACTTGTTAGTAGATCAAACAGCCCATGTACATATTTGTTTTCACTTTGGTCTCCCTTTCTACCATCTAGGTATATATACATATATACTCTTACATACGCGGGACAATAGCCCTTCACAGCTAAGCGCCAAACTACAGCAAACAGCTGACACACATATACATACCTACTCTTTTGTATAATAGGCAAATTAGTTTGATTTTGTTTTTTCACGTTGCTTCCGCGTTCACATATCAAAATAGGTACATACATCTTTGCACCAACAAAAACACGGTCAAAGTCCCAACCTCACGACGAGGAATTTACCAAAGCTCAGAAAAAAATTCCTCTTCGAAATATCTAAGCTTGAAAAATATGGCGCGAAGTGGTGGAAGATTTGCGAAACAGATCACTCGGAGGCCAGTCTCAGGCTTTACTTGGAGGAACTCAACAAACACTTGTCGTGGGTGGAGAACTCGTACGAAGCGGTATACATGAGCAGCTCGGACGAGATATCCAGTAAGGTATACGAGGCAAAATACGACACCGCTGTAGACACGTGCATTAGTACCAGGACGCGCATCAACGAGTTACTTAGCCATCGCCAACCCGACATGATGGTCGCCAGTAACATCAGCGTTCCGGCAGTACCAGCGCCACCCGAACCCCAAAACTATTTAAAAGTGCCTGCTTGTGACACGGAAACATTTTACGGAGGATATGAAGACTGGCCGTTTTTTAGGAACATGTTCACAGCGGTGTACATAAATCACCCCAAACTCTCTCAAGCCCAGAAGCTTTATCATTTAAGGCAAAATACTCGAGGTAAAGCTGGACTAATAATTAAAACTTATGCACTTAACGACCACAACTTTGAGCTG